AAATTAATGCCCATATTATTCTGTCTTGAAACCTAAAATATTTTAAATCAATTTACCTAGTCATTCATTCCTAATTGATTTGATTTGGAAATGTATAGATCTGTGAAATATGTAAAAAATTTTACTATGATGCTTGTTGAGATAACTTTGATGGAACTTATTCTACCAGACACTAGGAATCTCAATTTCTCAAATTGATCTAGTTGATAAATCAGATATTATCCTTTAGTTAAACTATTATCAAATACAGCTAAAATAATATAATCTAAGAGTTAATTTGAGCAAATTTCTTGCGAAAATTAATCATGGGAGGTACATCAATTCGATTTTTAATGTTTGATTGATTTAAGAAAAGCGTTTTCTGTAATCAATCTAAATTTTGATGTCCCAAGAAAAAAATTGATGAGATTTAGCAGTTTAAGCATAAAAACAAGAAAATTGTATCTATTGATATTAATTTCAATTTGATGTTATTAATCGTAAGCGAAATTAGCAGATTAATCTTAAAACGCTAATATTTGTCAGTTTTTTTTCTTGTTTTATTCCATTTTAGATTAAACTAATTTATTTGGCATAGATTATGGTATTTCTTATTTCAATAAGTCGATTTGATTCATATTATCAAAGCATTTCTTTCCATGTAATGTCTGCCCAGCGACTCTGTGTCTACGGGGCAACGGTAAGGGGAATGTAGTTGTAAAAAAAGTGGCTGATTTCATTCATAAAATACCCAGCTGCTTACAGTACTTTTTGGAAGTTTTATCGTATTGCAACACGTACACGAAAATCGACATTGACCAAACCCCCGCCACTACATATTTCAATATAAATCGATATTCCAAAATAGGAGGATAAAATGACGGAAGTCCTGGCCAATAGCGAGACGTAAGGTGACGTTAGCCCATTGACAACCGCATGGCAACGGCCATCCTGCCAAAAACTCCACCAATCAGGTTCATCCAGGCCGGTTGCTTGCCAAATTCTCAAAAGCTGATGGTATCTTTAGAAAATGTTTATTTTTTACAATGAACAAAATTGAAGAAATCAGTTATTAAAATAAGAATAGATCTAACAACCACGTTGAAATATTTAGCGTTTTATTGGTATCTATATTTTGTTATTAAAAAATGGATTTTCAAATGAACTATACTTCATGCCTAGTATTTTCGCTTTTTTATAATTAAACGTGGCAACATCGCACATTTACGTCCGAATTCCTTCCGTAGACTCAGAACCGCTGGGCAAACAATACCTAGCGTATCATTTTTCAGTATTCAATTTATCTTGATAAAAACCTGAATTCAATTCAACTCATAAATTAACAGTTAACACAACATTTATTAATTCTGAGGCGGTACGGATAACGAAGTTCGCCAGATCAGTTGGTTATGTATAAAATAATTCTAAAAATCCAATAGGGTAGTGGACAATTTTTTGAAATATTTTTTTTTTTTTTAATCTTCATTACAAAATAAACAATGTTGATGATTCTTTGATTTTAGAAAACAAAAATATACGTTAAAAAAAATATTAACAAATTTGTACTTATTTAAAACGCTATAATTTACCGTCAGGAAATTACGTCATAGCTGTTATGTATGTCCAATAGCGCGTCCTTATATTTTAATGCTGTTAGAAAAAGATGCCGATAAACTCAGTACGCACTGAATGATAAATAGAATTCTCTCAAAAAGTGGGGTTATGTTGAGGGTGCGCCTAAATGTAATAATACACGAGACACGCTGATATATCTCTCTTTTTTGCACTAAAGAGTAAGTTTGTGTCGAATATCGGACGTAGGTTTTATTTAATTCATACTTAAATACAACAGCTATGACGTAGAATTAGGGCGCGAATTATTTTCGTTCAAATAGTGCGTCCCAAAATTCTACTTTCACCGCCGCGCAGTGTATCGAAATCGAAAAAAATGGGACATTGAGTCTTTTTTTCTAAATATCACTACCTATGATGATTTTCTTTTACAAAATATTATTAATAGGAAAATACTATGCCAATTCATAGACACCAATTCATATGAAGTTTACCAGCTAAAACACCTTTTTAAAGATGAGATTTAAAAAATTGCCTAAAACGCGAAATTTTTTACGGTTTTGTTAAGATAGCATATACTATGGTCTGAAATCACATGTACTATGGTCACACATACTATATATGGTCTGGACTGAAAAAAAGATAATATAATTATCAAACGTCCTCACAAGATGTATTTTTCTTTCATTAAAACAACTTTTAAGTATTATTTTTATACTAGCAGGAATCAGTAAAAAAACATAATTGCTAAAAAAAAAAAATTCCAAAATCGGATCCAGGTGGAAGCAAATTATATATGACAGAATACTAGAAGGTTCAATCTATAATACGTTATGTATAAAACATTATCCAAAGTTATCCCTTTTTTTATAAGTCAACTAAAAAAAATTTTTTTTAAAAATTGCTACCACTCATTCAAAAATTAAGGTAATTATCCCTAGGGATACTGAGGAAATATCTTAATGCGATTATGGCGGCAAAAGGTCACCCTCCAAAATAAGACTATCGAAATTCAAAAATATTGCGAGACCACTAAATTATGTATTTTTTAATATGGGTGTTATTTTTTAAAGGATTTGGTAAATTAAAAAACCACAAATTTAAACTGCCATATCTCCTTGACCAGAAGGGCAAAATGAAAGATATCTCACATAGTAAAGCTCTGGGATGTCCTCTAATTATCCATGTAAAAAATTGTATATAAATCCAGATTTTGATATATAGGCTAATGTCCCGTTTTTTCCAATTTCATAACAGTGTGCGCCGTTTTAAACAAGGTTAGTAATTTTATCTGAAATTTCTTTTGATACGAATATTTTTTATTTACTCCATAGATTAAGAATAGATCATCGATTTCATTCAAATTATACCTTTTCCACTACCCTATTCTTACAATACACAATGGTTATCACACAGCCTCCTATAGTTAACAAGCCATGAAGTTGGAAATGACGGCAACGTCGCGTATGGTGCTATTTTGTTATTGGGTTATGTGTTTCTGTGTATTGCGTTCATTGTGTATTGTTGCAATTTAGTATTTTTATGAGCATTATTGACGAAAAAGTGGATAGAAACACACCAATATATTGCCCATATTTAGTTGATACCTGTTCCTTTGTGCTTTGATTGCAAATTTTTAGCAAATGGTTACAGGAGCAAAAATGAAGGTAAGGTAAGGTAAAACAATAAAAACAATATTAATATTTGTCTGCAAGAGCATAGGTCTCGATACATTGCCTAAGATATTTAAACTTGTTCCAGATGCCATGAAACTACTGTGTTCCTGGGTGCAAATCGAACTATTAGGAGTTCCTTAAAAACTGAAGAAATGCAAACATTTTTATTTCCAAAAAAATTCTGAAGTGCAAAAAATGTGGATGAAAGCAATACACCAAGATAATTATACCCGAGATTATACAATAACGGAAAATTCTGTGGTGTGTTGTAAACATTTTGAAGAAACCGAAATAATTAGATTTGAAACAAACAAGGATAAAGGCGTAGTTCGAGAGTTCAAACTAAAACGTCCAACTCTTAAAAGTAGGTACCTCTTATTTTCGAAAATCCGCTCAAGTATTTGAATGGACTTGCCTTCCGAAAAAATCCCGAAGAAAGAAAAAGTTAGATTTTCAAAAGACATACTGAAACATAACACTTTAGACTGTAGAAATATATTCATTTAAATCAATTATTTACTGTTCTTATTTACACAAATAGTTAAATTATTCATTGAATTACTGTTTTTGGCCCTTTAGTACCTACAATAAATTATGCATTTTTTGTGATTCATATTAATAAAATAAAAAATATATATTTATACAAACAAACACCACCAGCACCACTTGGCGGTAAGATTGCGGTGTTGCCTTTTTAACTTCATGGCTTGTTAAATGTAAGAGGCTGTGGTTATCATGAACATTGAACTTGACATTGAGATAGTTCTTCAAATTCCGCGCCAGTAACAATAAAGCAGTTCCACACAAACCAAATGAAGCTAACTCGGCCCTTACACTGTGACATACTAAATTTACTAAGGCCCGGTTTATTCATCTTCATCAGATAAACTTGCTGGTAACTAGGTATCTGCAAGATAAATTAATCGTTCTATAATTCTATTGGATTGGTCGGCGATAACTGGCCGACCAATGGCATTACAGATTGCGTTTTTATCCGTCAGATTGCATACCTGATAGTTTATCAGAAGATGAATAAACCGGCCCTAAGAGAAATATGATACATTGTTGTTGATCCTCTATTCAAAATACCTCAAAATCTAAGATACCCATACTGTATGAAATAAATCGAAAGTGTGTTTTTTTTAGAAGAAAAAGTCACGAGGACTTTTGCGAAGACCCTCTTATATTCATGATCATTATAATCATAATCTAATGATATGTATGTAGTACAGGGTGGTCCAAATTGGACACTTTCTTATGGAAACTGCCTTTATTTTTAGAGATAGGAAAAATGCACTCTCCACTCTGAGGCTCAAATTTTATGAAATCTGGATTGGTGCAAACCGCATTATGAGCAATACTGTGAAACCTTCATAACTTTTTTGATTTTTAAGCAGAATTCAGTGACATTCTCAGTTTTTTTCTATTTGGCTCCGATTTCGAGTTATTGACCAAAATCCGATTTTTTTTCAATGAGACACCCTATGTATTAATAGTTCATTGGAGTGCTCTGCGTTGGCTGATTTCAATGATATTAAGTTCGATAAGTTTATCTGTAATGGTTTTCGAGAAAAAAAATTATTTCGGTTTTTGTCATAAGAAACAATGTGTTTGAAAAGGACTTTACATCTCTAAGGAAAATGAGAAAGGAAAGGTCTCTTTCTAACACATTCTTTCTTATGACAAAAACAGAAATTATTGTTTTTTTTTCGAAAACTATTAGGGATAAACCTATCGAACTTTATATCATTGAAATCAGCAAAAGCAGAGCTTTCCAATAAGCTATTAATATTAAGATCGGATTTTGGTCAATATCTTGACATCAGAGGCGAATAGAAAAAAATCGAGAACGTCACTGAATTCTGCTTAAAACTGCTTCAAGAAAGACATCACGGAAATCAATTATTTTCATAAATAGAAAGGTTATGTAGATTTCACAGTATTGCTCAAAATCGAGAATCGTCCTCTAGCGGCTGAGTGGTTGAAGACATTAAAATGCGTTTTGCACGAATCAAGATTTCATGAAATTGGAGCCTCAGAGTAGGGGGTCCATTTTTTTTCTATCTCTAAAACTAAAGGATGTTTCCATAAGAAAGTGTCGAATTTGGACCATCCTGTACATACACTTGGCTATGAAGATTTTCTAAGCGAATGCTTGGTGAGCGCTTATAAATAATCAGGGTCTTTGCAAAAAGCAAATGTTATTATGACTCTTCTGTGTGCAAGAGAAAAATAGACCTTAGATTCCTTAGAATATGCTAATAAGTAAAATGTTAAATATAGGTTGGGAGAAATGGTTTTCGGTCTGAGGCGAAGGGGGAGGTACAAACGATATGGAAATACAGAATTGCAAATTGCAACTAAATAATATTAATAATAATAAATTGGTTTAATTCAAATAAATACAATATAAATACAATTTTCAATAGTTACATTTGCTGAAATAAACATTAAGTGCAGAAGCTTCATTTCTGTTGCTTGTTAGCGCTGTTATTTTATTTATTTTTTGTCACATCCTGGTAATCACATCCTTGCAATGGAATAGAGTGATAAATTTAAGGCCATATTTTCCGCGGTTCAATTTTCACTGAACGCTCTTCATCCAATTTGCCATAAATAAAGTATCCACCTCTATATAGTTATCCGCTAGCAAAAAGCCAATTAGAAGAATAGTGTTTAGCTGTAGTTTGATGTCATTGACTGGGACCACAGATTATTGTCTCAATGTTGACATGTGATTCTTTGATTGACATATTGTTCGTCTAATAAAATGTCTAAAAAAACTCATAAAACCAAAAAATACAGCAAATCATATGGAACATCATCACAGGACACTGATTTTGAAACAGCAACAGGAACTCAAGATTCAGAAAGACACATAACAGAAGGACGGACCATAGTGATAAAACTAAACTCTTTAAGAAATATTGTACCATTATATCGAATCTCAGACGTGAAAGTACAGCTTAAATACTTGGACAAACATTTGGGAGAAACTCGTCCAATGCCAGTTGTGGACAATGAATTGCCACTTAACGATAGCTTCGAATTGTTAATCGACCTAGAATCAACCAAACAACTGGATTTGTTAGCATCAAATCCAGTTTTCATTACCGTGCTGCAGTTAACTGGAACTCAAGATCCATCTAAGTATGAGTACTTACAAATATCGGCACAAGGCGCCAAAGCTACTTCTGCTGAAATTGATAGTTTATTTCGTCTGTATGAAGCATTTAATGGAGAAAGACCTCCAGTGCAATTATGCGAGTTGAAAAAGAGAAAGAAAGGTAAGAAATCAAAAAAAAAGCTGCATTGCATTATTTACATTAGTTTTATAAATTAGCAGGTAAAAGAGATAGAACCGAAAACGGCAACCGTCAAGAAAGATCAAAATCACGATCTAAATCCATCACAAGTAGGGACTCAAAGTCATCAAAAAAATCCAAAACTAAAACGAAATCAGAAAGTAAAAGCAGAAGTGAATTATTAGAAGTACAAACAGAAATTTACGGAATGTGCGTTATTGATTTAATCCCACTATTCTATGGAGAAACTTCATTTTCCGAAACTTTACTCATTCAACCAGTCAAACAATCCTGCCAAATCTTAAGTACTCACAAAAATTTCCCAGAAATTTCTATTACAGTGGCCATAAAAGATAATGCCAAATTTATCAATATATTAAACGTTCTAAATTTAACAGTAGAATCCATTTGTAATGTCCCTTCTATGATGCTCGCGGAGATGGATTGTACAGTTTGTGCAATGTTACCTCTTTTCAATTCAAATGCTTCGCCTACAATATTCCAAAATCCCAAAATAACTACTACAGAACCGGCCAGTGACCTAGAGCCAAAACGTTGGCCTGGTTTACATGATATTGGCCATAATGCAAATACAACAAAATATTTCATTGAGCATAACTTTGAAGAAATTACCAATAGGTTTAATTTAAACATTAGAGGAGCTTTTAAAGAAGGCGCTGCAAGAATTGAGTATAATTACCTAAAAAGAAATATTTTATATGAGCATGGCAACAGTAACTTTGCAGCACATGTTCAATCATACAGAAAACTAGCACTGGAAATTTATTTGACACAGAAAACTAAGAAACACAAATCTTTTGATAGGCCATCAGATGACTTTGATGAATTCGCTCCGGGACGCTCCCGTAAAAGCATTAAAATACCTGCCCGCATACATTTAATGGCTATATTAGATCTAGTAGATTTGCTATATCCAGGAGTTACTAAGCTTCATATAGTCGCTCCTGTAACTTATTTTCACTACGAAGAAGCTGCCAAAGCTGGATTAAATGATTCTTATTTTTTACCAAAACCAATAGGTAATGTGGTAACTACCAAAAGTTCAAAAACGAAACTGGAAGGTAATAAAAAAAATAAAAAAAATGCAGAGAAAAAAGATAAAAACGTTATTGATAGAAAAGATAAATTATCTGTAACAAAAGATGATAAAGATTTAGCAATCCTGCTTCCGGCTAAACCTGACGAACCGTTGCCACCAGAACCATGCAGACAAGTTCATAATGACAATGGAGAGGCATGTTTTATAATAATTGAATTAGAGCTTTTAAATCCACTGAATAAAAAATTAGACATCGAAGAAATAGAAACAGATTTCCACACTCTACAGTTAGAGGCTTCACAATCTTCAAAAACTATCTTAAACCAAGCGGTAGCTGATGAACATTATAATCGAACAATAAAAGAAATTAAAGATGATATTTATAAACATTGGCAAGAATATAATAACGTTATAACCTCAATTCCAATGCCGAACCCCAAAATACAGTTTCCAAATTATTTGAAAAAACTTGGTGCTTATCAACTTTATGGAAATTCTATTATTACTTCGGCAACCTTATTAATTACCAACAATTATAAATGCTTTGAATGCGATTTTCGAAACAACAGAAACTATCAAAATTTAATATCAGAAGTCTATACAGGATTAACAGATAAAATGTATGGTATTTTAAATGTCAGTAATGATAAGAAAGCTAAGGAAGAAAAATATTCGACTGCATGGAATATATCGAGTTATTTTTATGCCAAGGAAGCTGCAGAATTGAAATTAGATGAATTAGGGAAAAGATATTTTGTAGAAAGAATTATAGTTAATGATAATCCTGAAGAAACTTCACAATCTTGGTTTGATTTTGCCATATATAACATAGAAATTGATAATGTTGACAAGGCGTTTGAATGCGTTAAAGAAGCTACAGCTTTAAATTCTAATAACAAACATGCTTTATTATTGTTGGCGATTTTATTAGCTGATAAAGACATAATACAAGATGCGGAAATTTGTTTTTTAAATCTATTAGACCTACAATCTGGATGGGTAGAGGGTTGGTGCATCTTATACTTATTTTACCAGAAATGCTCTAGACTGGATGGTATGGAAATGGTATTGGATATTGTTAAGAAATTTGCTAATGAACGCAATAGCGATAGTGATTATTTTGAGGCTTTCGAGGATCTTGCTTGGAGCTGGAAAAATATTCCAAAAACCTTCTTTTTAAATGCAGCAGTACTTTTGCTAAAAATGAGACTGTATTCTTGGGCCGAATTAGCACTAGCAGAGGAACTTTTAGTGCCAAAGCATTATGGGTATGTTAATTATTTGTTGGCAGTTGTAAGTTATTACAAGAAGAATTTTGAGCATGCTCTGGAGCATGTTAAGGAAGCTAAAGTATCAGTAGGTTAGTTTTTGAAACACTTTGTTGCAAAATAACCAAATAATTGAAAATTGTAGGTTCCGACTATACAATTCTAGCCCTCTCAGGCCACATCCTTCTAGCTCAATCCAAAGAAAATGAAGCCAAAGACGAATATTTTCGTATCATCGAGTCCTATAATAAACCCAAAGATATTCACTTGGTGTACCTAAATTCAGCTGAAATTTTAGCCAAGCAAGGCGAAGGACAAACAGCGAGAAAATGTATCTTGAACACCTGCAAAATTCATCAAACGCCACATGTATGGTTAACTGCAGGTAAACTCTTCTATCAGCAGAACGATCTATTGAGTGCTGAAGAGTGCTTCAATAAAACTACAATGAAAGATAACCGATATCCAGAAGCGTGGGGTTATTTGACTTTGGTCAATTTGAAGCTGAATAGGATACAAGAAGCTGAGCAATGCTATGAGAAAGCGCTTAAGAACAAATTAATGGCCGATGGAAGTTTGAATCAACTGATTGTGATAAAGCTTAATGAAGCAAGAAGTTTGTAGCTGTATGTTTATTTTTATTAAAAATGGTTGTTTTTTAATTTGATTTTTGTTGTGACCAAATATCAGGTGGACTGTGCCTAGCACAAAAAAAAATCAATTTAATCAATAACAGCTGTATGCAGCATCCTCTTTCAACTTGAAAGTGCTGTTTAAAACTGATACCTTTAAAAATTTGTATGGTTTAGAATACACATTTTTAAAAGTGACCAGTTTTTAAAAGCGCTTTTAAGTTAAAAGAGGATGTTGCATACAGCTGTAAGAATCCAAAAAACGGCTACATCATACCAGTTATTTACTGGTATCATTGTATAAAAAGCCTTTTTATACAATGCTGGTATGCAAGAAGCTCAAGTCTAAATAGTCTTGTGAAGATCCCAAAAAAGGGGCATAAATTACAGGGATCTAAAAAGTGAAAAAGGGAAATTTTCGGGGATAATACCACGAGAGCTTCAAAATTACCGATAATTTTTGACGATTGCGTGTTTTCTATAATTTGCAGAGAAAACACGCATGAGTGAAAAATTATCTGGTTCATTTTAAAGTTCAAGTGGTATTTAGAGGATTATTTCACGTATAAGAATATAAAAAATATGGAAATAAATGTATAAAACGTTTGTTTGTATCAAAAATTAGCATGGCAACCATGTATACAATAACATGGGAGAATTATCGCTGTAATTCTCTCTAGTTAAACAAATAGAAAAGAGAATTTTCGCTGTAATTCTGAAAATCATCACTTGTCTTATGGGATTTCTAACACATGAGTGGAATAATCGGAAAAATAGTTTCGGAAATTATTATTTACCTCAATAAAATTTAAATTCAATCAAATAACTTTATCTTAAATTAAATCCCAATACTGGAGGTTATAATTGGAAAGAAATAAAGTAAATAAAATACTCTCAATAGTCTCAATTGGGATTCTCTAAGTTCAAATTAAATCAATAATTAACGTAGTTATCTGTTTCGCTGGTTAAGCCAGCGATAAAGGTCAAAATCTAATCCAACAAATGTTATACGGACCCCTCTCTATAGTCATCAGTTATCTTTAATGGAAGCAGTCCGAATGAACTAAATTACGCAACCAGAAGAAACACGAGATTTCTTGACCTTTTTACATAAACTCATAAATCTAATCACCAAACGACATTAATTACAAAGCTAACTTGTTTAATTGTGTTCACGCGCTGTCGGCGTTTTTGAACAGCGGAAATGGAAACGATAATTCTTGCGACATTACTCCGATAAATACTAAATTAGGACACGCAGGTGGAGGGGTCATTGCGGAGACAACCTTAAGAGATTTATAATGGGATCGAATACTATACAGGATGTCCGGTAAGTATATGGCATACTCTCGGGAACGTATAGGAGGGGTCAAAATAACTCTACTTTGTTATAAAAAAAAAATCCTAAAGTGCCCCTTAATGGAGAACAGAGCCCCAAAAGTGTACTTGGCGATCCACATTTTTGGCTCTAACTTTTGAAACGACTTGTATAATTTAATGAAGTTTTGATATTTCATGTTGGCCATAAAGACTCATAAAATCATCCCACAGTAGAGGTTTCACATAGTCTGGGACGTCAGGAACGAACTTGCCACCATATTCATTGTGCCAAATTTTTGACAGGAGTCATTTTACAGAGCTGATTTTTTAAATACTTAACTATTTTTTTCGGAAACGGCTGATTTATTTGAAATAAATGTAGAGCACCTTTTTTGAAGAGAAATGACTGAAGTATTAAAAAAATCAGTATTCAGCTCTGTGAAATGACTCCTGTCAAAAATTTGGCACAATGAATATGGGGCAAGTCCGTTCCTGACTTCCCAGACTATGTGAAACATCTACTGTAGGACGATTTTATGAGTCTTTATGGCCAACATAAAATATAAAAACTTCATTAAATTATACAAGTCGGTTCAAAAGTTAGAGCCAAAAATGTGGATCGCCAAGTACACTTTTGGGGCTCTGTTCTCCATTAAGGGGCACTTTAGGATTTTTTTTTTATAACAAAGTAGAGTTATTTTGACCCTTCCTATAGGCTCCCGAGAGTATGCCATATACTTACCGGACACCCTGTATAAACAAATTACGAGAGGAAGAATTAAGTGTTAAGAATTAGAAATTACACTTACATTTAAAAGTAGAATCAGCAGTTGATCAAGAGAAAAGTTATTTTCTTTGTTTCTGCCTAGGGACCAAATTAAAATCGCGATTCAATTGACTATATCGACAAGTTAAGAACTTAGAAGTAAACACAAATCTTTTAGTCGATTTTGTGCGTGCTAATGGCCGTTTGCACCGACCATTTTAAGGAAGCTTTAGCGATAAGTATTCCTTAAAGTGACATTTCTCCATGTAAAAATGTCATTTTAAGGAATACTTATCGTTATCGCTAAGGCTTCCATAAAATGGTCGGTGCAAACGGCCATAAGCAATTAAAACAGAAATACTTTGATAGAGCCAGTGTAGTGAATTTTAATGAAAATTATTTTAGTAAGTACATATAAGATAGGAAGAATTTTTTTTGAAATCAATTGCAATGAGTATGAATGTGAAATGACTATGGAATATTATTGCAAAAATTTAATTCACTTTGGATGAAATGACTTTTGAATATTTTTGCTAAGAGTTTTAATAGGAAATTGATGCACTTAACGATTGCCGATTAGTAGAATGAATTTATTGAAGATTTTGAATTTAAATTGTGGAATGATGACCTTGAATTAAAGTATAATATGGTTCTTAATAAAAGATTTTATCATTGAAACTAGTGAAAAGTTTTAATTGAAATGTTTTGTACTTGAAGTAAGATGGATGTCTAAATTGGGTTCATGGTTATAAATAAATGGTATAAGCATAGACGTATAAGTTTGTCAGTAAATGACTTCAGGGGTTTTTAAAATTTATAATTAAAGGTAATGGTAGTTTTATTTCATGTATCGAATCCATTTAGTATGGTGAGGAGTGAATGATATGGTTATCTTATGAGTTATTGAGAGTGTATCGAAGTAGGGCTTTATAATAAGGATAATTCCAGTTCCGAAAAATAAAGGAAGAATCTTGTAGGATGTTAAAGTTTGAAAAGTGTTGTAGTAAATTGAATTGGAGAACCTAGAAGTGGCTATAAGACTTTGGGAAAATATTAAGTTTTATTTATTACTTGTACTGACACAAATTGGGTTTTAATTATTTAAGTAAAATAAAGTACAATTTTGTATACCCTAATACAGTTGTTTCTCTCATTTGCAAATAGACCCCCTCCACAATTTTATTAGTAGCCGCCCAAGGAAATAAACACCATCATTAAAACCGCTCGCGATTTACCATCTAACTAATTAAAAGAGTACGTACTTGGGCGCATTTGCTACAGTCTAATCTATAAATTACATACTAAAACGAGAGGCTCTTACTCGTTTCGCAGGTAAATTGACTCCAGCTGCTAATGTGGAAGTGCAACAGATAACAGAGATAGTTCCTGCTCGAAACGCATCTTCCAATAACCGCCTTTCTTCACTAGTTAAACCTAAATTGATTTATTTAGGTAGTATTTAGATAAGATAAAGTGTCGCATACTCACCAGAATGATGATAAGCAATTCCAAAAGGCACTGACACTTTTAAAGTTCGACACAATTCCCCTGCTTCACCTTTTAGTGCTTCTAATAGTTGGATTTTATCATCTTTTTTATATTCTTTCAAATGCCTAGAAACCTCAAAATTACAAATTTACGTTAAAAAGTATTCCAGAACACTTACGGTTGAGTGAGTTTACATAAAAGATGAACCACATTTTCACAATTATTTTTTGAGGCACAAAATACCAAACATGATCCTTTGGGTATTACCTCCAAGACTAACCCGCCTAGCATATCTGGATCTAGCTTTTTGATAGCTTCAGAATACTAAAGAAACAATAAAACATTAGGTACATTATTAAATCAGATATTCTGAATCGACCGAGCAAGTAAATGCTAAAAAACATGAAGATATTGTAGTATCTTTACAAAAAAGGTTTCACCTTATTTCTGTACTGATTATAACTAGAAACAAAATTTACCATATAGTCTACTTTATTAGCCTCTATCAATATATCATTTTCATCAGCATAATTCCAATTAATTTTAGCGATCATATTTTCACATTTAACATATTCAGTAAGTTCAACAGGCCTAAAATTTTTGGTGTACACTTCTGCATTTAGAAATTTAGATAAATCCATAATATTTCCTATAGTTGCACTCATTCCGATTATTTGAATATTTCCTGAAGAAAAAAAACAACTAGTCGAGCATTCACCTTAGAAAAAAATTATACTGATTTTTACCTTTCGCAATTAATATTTTGGCTAAACAAGCTTCCAATGTAGACCCACGGCCTTCTTCGCCTATTAAATGCAATTCATCAATTACAATTAATCCAATTTCATTTAGTCTTCCACTTTCTATAAGACTGTTTACTAAGCCTAAAGCTTTTTCAATTGTTGCTATGTAGACTGAGCGTTTTCTGCGACGTTTTCTTGGAGGAAATACACCTTTGCTTGAAGCATACTCTTCTACTAAGAAATCTAGAGCAACCCCAAAAGGTGAAAAATCCCAAACCTAAAAGGTTCATTAGTTTTTCTAACACACATAACAAATTCTCTCTCACCTTTTCTTGTACGATAGCAACATAAGGCAAAATAAGAATGGCGTTCCGTTGATAACATAGTATTTCTCTTAACATCAAAATCTCAGCTACCAAAGTTTTACCACCACTGGTAGGTAAAGCGTAAATTAAATTCTTACGGTTATTTATTGCTAGGTTTAGACATTCTTCTTGCCAATCTAAAAAAAAAGGACCCTAGGAGGATGTCTGTTCCAACAAAAATTCGGAAATATGTATGACCAAACAGATTATTTACAACAAACGGCTACATCATATCGGGTCTTCAATAAAAAAACCAATCAAAGATTGCTATGGTTTTTCAAACGTAAGTATGTCTTAGCAATATTTTTCTTTAATTTTGTCAATGTCAAAAATCCTGACCAATAAAGAAATAGTAATGCGACGTAAGTTTTCGTAATCAAAGCAATCTTCGATTGGTTTTTTTTTTGAAGACCCGATACCATTTAATTACTGTTAGTTGAAGCATTGCAAAGTTGGGGCCAATCTAGATCACCAAAATGGAGTTAGATCAAACCACATTAGCTCAGCACTTTGAGCAAAAGAACTTAGTGGTGGTTTAATTGAAATTTTCAAGGTACTCACTAGAAGCTAACCATGTGTTTCACTGCAGCGATGAAAACTGAGAGAAAGAACCTAGTGTGTGGGGCCCTTCAAGCTCCTCGAGGCTACAGACAGGACAAAACACTTTCTCTCCAAGTTGAGTGTGACTTGCTACAGTTCGACTGAGATCCTAAGGTGAATGTTATGCTGTAGAAGCCCCATTCAACGTCCCAAACTTAGACCTATGGAAACTAAGCTCCTCGAGGGTACATTTTCATAGGGCTGTTTGGGTACTAAAGATCGGCTCTTAATAAAGTAGGGCTTTCCCCTAAAAACGGGCATTCCAAGGGAATTTTATATGATAGCCCTCCAGGGAAGAACATTTACTGCTATCTACTTTTGGTAACCCCTATTTAATCATCTCCTACATAAGTTGAGGTGTAACAATAGATGGTATTACTAGTGGTGAAATCTTTCCTTCCCCCCCATAACCTCTTTTCAGGATAAACCCTTAGCCGACGCAGCCAAGTATAGTTAAAAGTGGTGGCACCGTTGACCACAAACAACCTAAGCGTGACAATATCTTGGCTAAATTATTATGCCAATTTGGAAGGCTAGAATTTGAAAGTAGCTAGAGCAGCTAATTAATCATGGAAACTATCTAACTGAAAAAAAATTACAGCAGAATGTAATACCAAAATTCGAAACAAGAAGAGAGAAGCTTCAGTCTATGATCTCGATCAATGAAAAATAAATTTAAAAAAACCCAATTTAGGGAATATAATAACAATTCGATGTCTTTCGGGATGATTAAACACAAAAGAAAATCTTTCACATTGATTAAGCAAAAGAATAATAAAGGTACACTTACCATATAATTTCTCAATTCCCTTATACTGTTTAATCAAATCCTTAGCCTTGTCAGGCAAATCATAAAATTGTCCAAATTTTCTAAATTCAGAATCCGGTACACTCATATTCAAAGTCAAATCAGCATTATTGATATTTCCTTTAGCAGCCTCGATATTTTTTGAAGCATTATTCCTCAAAGCTTCTTTCAAAGCGGCTCCTAAACTTAGGTTGCTCAAAAGACTATCATCACTAGTTGCTGATCTATCTGTTAGGCTTCTCTGTAATTCTTCTTGTAGTTTATTCTCATTGAAATCAATTTCAGAAGATTTGTGATCCTCAGCAAAAAACACATCTAACACTTTATCTGAAATTGTATTTTCATAATCCACTGTACCCATTGCACAAATTGAGTGTTCTATTTGCTCAAAAAGCTGATCTACTTCCTTCTTGTAAATACTAGTTACAGTCTCATCATTGAATAATAGGGACCTATCAATAGTTTTATCCTTTTTAGCTTTAATAGTTGCTGCTCTTTCGCGGAAAGATTTTAAAATAGGCATTTTGAAAAACTCATCTTTTGGAACTTCATGTTTGCTATTAAAATTTTCTTTTTCATTTTCGAATGAAGATTTACTTTCTTTGTCTTCATCTTGGATCATTGCTAAATCTATTTGGTTGATTTGTTGGGTATTGAATGATTGTGAAAACAAGTCGTCATCTTCACATATTGGTTTCGGATGAGGTTGTTTTGGCATTGAATCTATTTTACTGCCAGTTGCTTTATTCAAATGGGAACTTCCGTTTTTAAAAATAATTGATATATCCAAATTATCTAAAGTATCTTGTAAAGCCGATGCAGTCTCATTACATTTTTGATTTTGAGTCGATGTTTTTTTATCCATTTTGAATCGTTTTCCTTCATGTATTTTATGTGTAGTATTTGATTGCCAAAGTCTTTTCGATGCGGTCTTCTCATTTGGGATAGGAGATAGGTCTAAAGGTACCTTTATGCCTCGGTCTATGCCATAACTTTCATCGGAGCTTATACCACTGGAGGAACCTAGAAAAAACAGAGTAGTCCACAGCAAGTTTGGAGTAGATGAAAATCTATACTAGTAGAAAAGTCGATTATCAGAGCAGTTAGGTCATGGGAATGGTTTATTTATTTATTTACCTCAAAGAAAATTTTGCAGATAACAGTAACACTACTTACTTGAATTAACATGAGATAGCATTTTAAAAATTAACGTGGAAACATTCAAGAATTTCAGCTCATTATAATATTTAATCATATAAGATGATATTCTACTACTAGGACTTTTAAAGAATACAGTGATTTGGTACATAAATGTCATGGATTAATTGCCACCAAAATTACTCTATGATATTTTTGCTTTACTGCCTTTTATTTTTTGAGCAACAAACGTTTATGCATGATTTATTCAATTTTTACTCTTTTTGGACAGTTCTACAGTTCACTAGCTTGATATCAAGTCACAATCGTAAATTTCTTGGAATCAACAGAAGCAAAAAAAAATTAAAATAAGTAAGGTAAATAAATAAGAATAAATTTTCCGATGGAAATCTTTTGTTATTGCCGGGTTTGCCATAACAGTTTGATGGACATGGAGTATTAAATGGATACCTAATATGTATAATGCTAATAATTGTTTTGCAAGTCCCAAAAACAATGGAGTATAATTTTTCTTTATTTACCTCTTAGAAATCTAAGCCTATCAAATGATTTGTTTCTGTATTTTCTTGGAGGGGTAGGAGGCACTATATCAGGATGGTCAGGTGAATCTAAAATAAATAGTTTAATAAAAATAAACCAGGAAAAGCTAAAATCAGACAATGGAGAAAAGGTACTTAGCGAAAGTTGTAGGTGGAACGGATTCTTTGGGAGTTGTGAGCATTGAAATTCAAAATTACAGAAACAATACTTATTTTATATTCTTGACTTTTATTTTTTTATCTTTTAATTTCAGGACTGCAATAAAATGTTGGTAAGTTGGTTGGTACTTTCCCATTTCCATAATTTATATTATTGAATCCTTCAGTAAGTGCGAGGTTATTCAACCAACCTGAATAGTCAATTTACGATTCAATGAAAGTGTTCAACCAAATAACTGTTGAAAGATGAGACCAATAAAACTGTTGTTGTACTTGGTGGCTGACCTTCCATGTATTCTTCTATTACCATTGAAAGTTTTATGGAAGATATTTAAACTAAATTGGCGTTGTAACCTCATAAATTTCTATAAGATTACCTCTTGCACAATGGCAAAACACTCTTTCAGAGTTGTTAGGTTTGGCCTTCTGGATGCTACAGCTACAAATCGTACAGTTCTGGTACTATTCCAGTGATCCATCGCTAGACTTTCTCGGAAACTTCTACATCTTTCACAAAGAATGGATTCCATATAGATACTCCATGTTCAATTTTTGATCTTGTGTAAGTATGTTTTGTTACCCAGGTGAAAACTTCGGAACGCCTCAACAAATGTTCCATTTTGTAATGTTTTGTCATTTATCAACGCCTCAACAAATAGGCATGGCTTGCCAAATTTGTAACGAAAAATTACATAATATAGGTACCATAAGTTACATTTAAGATTCTGTTGTCGAATTCCCAGGGCAATTTGCCAGCACATTTGTGTGTATCCTGAGAGCTGTCTAGCTCTAGGCCATGCTCCGGACACAGTTTATTTCAAATTCCAGTCTTTAAACTTTTTTCTTCTTCCATCGACCATAAGTCAAAGTGCTGTCAACCAATCTTTGATTCTGCATGTTAGGTGCTTTCTTCCTTTTTCCTGTCAGGTTGTAAGAACATAAAAGAAGGACAGAACACAGGACCTGGGAGCTTTTTATTGTTGTTTCTGAGTTGCCGAGTGTAAATTCAGTAGTCATATAATTAATTATATAAAATTCCATGTTCCTAAGATAAATTTACGTATAAGTAATGCTAATCTGTTTCACTGTGATATGTCTGATTGGTCCCTAATCATGCCAATGCAGCATAAGTGCAATATACTAATCAATAAGCATGATATTGACATGTGCAATGTGGATGTTAAAAAACTTAAATCCCTCTTCGAAACTTTACTGAAGTTGTTAACTACACAGAGCGTTATACAAATATATATTATTGTTGTTTGTTAACCATTTATCTCGTTTTGTACTTTTTTTGTAGTGTTAGTAATAGCTGTAGTAATGTAAGCTCTAGGCAGTAGATTTTATTAGATATATTATATTAGATATCAATATTATTTGATGTTTGTAAGATGTACCAATAAAATAAAATAAAATAAAATAAAAATAAAATAGTGTTTGAGGGTCAGCCCCCCACCATACTCTGCCAAAGGTTTTAAATATTGATGCCCTTCCTGGCTTTTTGAGTCACATATTCAATGTGTTTGTTCCAATTGAGATAATTGTCAAGGATCATACCCAAATATTTGAATGTTTCTGAAAAGGCCACTTGTTGCTGTTGTATGATTATTGGAGGGGAACTGCCCTTCCTTTTGCCCTTGGTGAATAGCATTGGAACGCATTTTGTTGGAGAAAGGCAGAGTTCATTGTTTCTGAGCCAGTTGTTTATTTTTTCTGAAGCAAAACTTATTTTGTTTGATAGGTTGGGGATGTCCTTCCCCTTTATGAATATGACGATGTCATCTGCATACGCCATTGTGATTATATTTCTTTGTCCCAGACCCCAAAGATATCCCTCACATAAATGTTAAACAAAATGGTGCTAAGTGGCGAACCTTGAGGAAGACTCCTAGATACATGTTCTGGACCAATTATGTTATTCTGAGTATTTCTAATGAATATGTTTCTGTTATTTAATATTTAAAATGTGGTGTTGCACATTTCTGTAGGAACCAAGGTAGGAACATTATAATGTATAAGTTTTTGGTGAAGTCTGTGGATATTCACGGTGTCGAATGTTGATTTGATATCCAGGAACAAGGCCATGACGGCTTCATTTTGCACAAATGCTAAGTTAATATAGGTAACGAGAAAAGCTAGGTTGTTGTGTAGATACGCTTGATTTTTTCCTAAATCCAGTCTGAAAGGGCGAAAATATTTTTTTAATTTTCCATCTGCCAGTCGATTCTATTCTTCATCAATATTTCCATGACTTTAAGGTAACAGGAGGCCAAGATTATTGGTCGGTAGCTTTCTGGAAGGTCGGGGATTTTGCCCAGGAAAAGTTCATACAGTTTTTCTGCAATTTTACATAATTTTTATAGTTTAGTGTGTATAGCATGACCGCGAAACTTTTTAGCGTCCTCGAGATTATCTTGGCTTGGCGATAACTTTTTCCTACGTATGCTAAAAAGGCATTTCGCGGCCTTGATATACAAATAACTATTTTGGATGTTTACTTGGTTCAATTTTTTTATATTTGTTTTATGTTAATGCATGGTTGAAATTCTAGTAAAAGACTCGCGACCTTCACCAGTTTTACCTCATGAAAGCAGTCATAGTTTTCATAATTTTAAACAACACATTTTCCTCAGTTTTGACTTGACATACCTACCCCTCGACCTACCCACTTCTTTTCTTTGAGAAATCTAGATTTGTTGTGTTAAATAAAGGTTAAAAGCATTTGAATGCACAATCCAAAGAGAGAGTACAGTAGGTAAACTTGATATACATAATATACAAATTTTTATACATAATAATCCAATTTACGTTTAAGTAGGTATCATATTTACCGGTTTTTGGTCCTGAGAAGCCTTTTCTTTTAAGGTCCATTTCTCATTTGTATCTTTGTTTATTTAAAAAAAAATCTTATTAAAATTCCACATAGACCAACAATCAACATGAACATAAAATAAACAAAATTTAAAATTTACTTGGCTTTGTTTACGGCAAAAATTTCAAATGAAACGACGAAACGAAACTGCTCGGTACTTATTTGGAGGTTAGATTTTTGTCTTGTCGTGTTCCAAGGATAATACACACTACTGCCAAGGATAATACACACTACTACCACAAATTACTTACATACAGATGCGCAAGAGCTGCGAATTCGTGGTTCAATATTGATTTGCTGGACATAGGCTGGCCGCACCAATGCCACATCAATGTATTTTGAACATATTTATTATATAAATGCGGAAGCTCAATAATATAATATTATTTCTTTAATTGGTTCACAAACAGCAAAAAAATATTTTTTTCTACCCGCAAAAATATGTAAACACACAGGCTGGAACATGCTCACGCACTCGGCCACGTTAATTGTCCTGACGCGGGCGATCTTTATCTATGCGTCGGGGCGCTGGCGGCCCGGCTTCGTCACAGAATATCGTCGACGACAAGTATACGTACTTTCGCATCTGTATTAGGTGATCTGTGCTACTACTACAGGAATAGGATAGCTTATCCTAATAAGGCCTTTGTAGATCAAATCACAAGCCACCCACCACTCTAGAGAACCAGTGATGACGTAGGTAGCGTGTCGTTTTTCGCCTTGAAGGTGTTTGCAATACGATTCCGCGGGTTTTGGCTTTATGCATTATGCATAAGCCGCTTTCCAGCTGTGTGCTTCAAACACGGTGCAGCGCAGTGTTCTGTGTTTGAAACGCAAAAGTTAGCAGCTCTCGAAGCGCAGTACGGCTGGAGCTGGAACACGAACACGCGCTTGAAGCATTTGCGCGCGCAAAAGCTCGATTGTGTGCTCAAAATGGTCAGCTAGAAAGCGGCTATTAATGGCCGTTTCCACCAACTATAAGTATTCCTTAAACTGACATTTCTCCATTAAAAAATTATCATTTTAGAGAATACCTATCGTTAGGGCTCCCCTGAAATTGTTGGTGGAAACGGCCATAAACATTCTAAAACAACGCTTTTTTAGATCTCGTTTGCGTCTTCCCCTTTACCCATTATGTTAATCAAAATTAAATAAAATTTTTCATCATGAATGTTTATCCTAAAGGCCGTTTTACAGCTTGCAAGAAAACTTGAATGCAATTGTTTGCATGCAAAAAAATTCCATTCAAGATTTCTTGCACGTCGTTTTACACCTTGCAATTTGACTTGTTTCCTTCTCTAAAGGCCGTTTTACAGCTTGCAAGAAAACTTGAATGCCATATTTTGCATGCAAAAAAATTTCATTCAAGATTTCTTGCACGTCGTTTTACACCTTGCAATTTGACTTGTTTCTTTCTCTAACCTTAACCATACTTTTTTTTAAATCTTGTGTTGTTGATATTCGCATTTTCCAAAAATAAAAAAAGTGATTATAAGTCGATATAAAAAGAAGAAAGCAATAGCAGCATCCTAATTGCTAAAAATTCCCCATCTTGCACGAAAACCTTCAAGAAAAATGGCACCAAACCGATTGCATGCAATGCCATTCAAGTTTCAAGAATATTGCAGAAACCAATCAGCTGAGTCACTTCTGCGGATGCCCTCGTTCAAGTTTCTTGCATATTGCAGAAAGAATTGCAAGCTGTGAAACGGCCTTAACCTTAACCATACTTTTTTCTTTTCAATTTTGTGTTGTTGATGTTTGCATTTTCCAAAAATGAAAAAAAGCGATTATAAGTCGATATAAAAAGAAGAAAGCAATAGCAGCCATTTTAAGCATCATACTTGCTAAAAATTCCCCTGCTTGCGCGAAAACTTTCAAGAAAAATGCTACCAAACCGATTGCATGCAATGCCGTTCAAGTTTCAAGAATCTTGCAGAAAACAATCAGCTGACTCACTTCTGCGCATGCCCTCGTACAAGTTTCTTGCACATTGCAGATAGAATTGCAAGCTGTAAAACGGCCTTAAACTACGACCGACGACCGCTGGCGCAAGCAGCTGGCGACCTAGTTGATGACGTCGTCAGTGGTGCTACATGTAGCCGCGATTCCCGAAACCGAGACTGATAACGAATCCTGTGTAGTAGTGTGTATTATCCTTGAATGCACCGACCATTTTAAGGCAGGTTTACGGAAATCAACGATTTGTTTACATGTAAAACTGTCACTTTAGTTAGGTTGATCGTTAAACCTCCCTTGAAATAATACGTGCAAACCAAGGCTAATGCACTACTGAATGATTGCTTATCGGCCTCGTTTTTGGTAATCGCGATCATATGGTGTAGCACCATTTCCGACGTCATTACCTTAGTCGTCAGCTGTTTGTGCCACCGGTCGTAATTTAGAATTTAAATTTATGACGAAAAATATTATTCAATTTTGATTAACATAATAGGCAAAGAGGAGAATGCAAACGAGATCTGAGAAAGAGTTTTTTCAGAATGTTAATAGCTTTGCTTCGGTTTCACTCAGAATTAGTTCGGAATCATTCTGCACATGCACATATTATAAAATGCATTTTCGTTTTTTCAGAATCGTAATCGATCGTATTGGTTTATCTAGAACTATTTAAGAACAATTCTGGGATTGTTCTAGAACGGTTCTCTCATAGTTCTTGCTCTGAAGGAGAATTTTGTGATTTGCGTCGTGTTTTGGGTCTTATAATTCCGAATCGGTTCAGAACTAGTATTTAGAACAGTCCCCTATTATTTTTTGTGAGCAAGCAGTTCTGCGCAATCCCAGGGGTCCTATTTCCGAATATTTTCGCATACGAAATTTGATACGATTTCGAATGCTCCCCATTTAAATTACATTGCTGTGAGTCAAGTTTCGTGTACGAAATGTAGTCGAATGATTTCGAAAATCGCACCCCAGGACTGTTCCAAATTTCGAACCAAAACAAAGCTAATTATTGTAGGAAAACCAAATATGCATAAACAGAAGCCCGCGGAATTTTGTTTGCTAAAATGATTTACCATATGCTTAACGCTGATGAAAAAGCAAGAGCCAATTGAAATGATAGCACAAGAAGAGACAAATTGAACAGTTACCTAGCCCTAGGTTGTGGCAGTAGCGCGATGAAATTAAACAGATAATGGGTTGACAGGGGTTAAAATATCACGTATCATCGTCACCAAAAGTATCTGGGACAAAAATAAATTATATTAATCTCCTGGACTAAGTCTACTGTCATTCATTTCAATGCATTTAATTCATAATTTAACAAATATTTGACACAAAATCATATAATAGTACAAGAGCTAACATGATGCTGTCCCAGTTACTTTTGGTGACGGTGGTACATCGCTGCACTTATAAAAATCGTTAGAATTTTGACCTATAATGCGAAGGATGTTAAAAGAGTATGTGCCAATTGCAATGATTCCAATAATATGATTCCAACTGAACGTCAAGACGAGAAACGACACGCTGTCTACCTCATCACTGGTGCTTTGGCTTGAGATTTGAACTACACAGGCCTTATGACGACAAACTATCTTATGGTGGTAGTGTGCATTATCCTTGGGTGCAAACGGCCATCAGCTATTAAGCTCTCAGTTATGCGAAATTCGCTCTTTTTTGACATTGCATCAAAAATTTGACATTTGATACACGCATGAAATGTCAACCTGTCAAAGCAATGTCGGCAATGTCAAAAAAAGAGCGAATTTCGCGCAAGTGAGAATGAGGCATCCAGGGCCAGGGGTAAGGGTAATGAAGCTCCGCAGCCTTATTCTGTAACTTGCGACCGCAGATAATTGCGCAGTTAGTTGCTGTCAAGTCGCTGCCAAATGCGAGTTTTCCATTAAAAAAAAGCAACTTGCGACCGGTTGCTGGTTGCTATGTAATTGCTGTTCGTAGAGAATAAGCCTGCCGGCCTCCGAGCAACTCCAAGAGTATGCACCTAGTTAGCGGTTTTGTTGAACACAGATGAAAATCAGCTCTAGGCCAATCTAAACTGTTCTGCCTTGTGTATTCAACTTGTTGGAGCAAAGCCGCTCACCAAGCACTCAACATGTTGAGTGCTGGTGAGCGCCAAGGATGATACACACTACTACAACAGGAGGCCTATCCCCAAGCCAAAATACCAGTTGCAGCATGGCGTGTCTCGCCTTGACGTAGGCTGTTTGAACAGCTGACGACTTAGCTATGACGTCAGCAATGATTGGAAACCAATATGGCGGCGATAACCAAAAACGAGGCCGATAAGCACCAAGGATAAGCACTCCTCTAGAGAGTGTATTCTCCTTGGGTGAACCGCAACCAACGTATCCAAAAAAGTAGTATGTCATTTATGTCAAGCAAAAGCCGCGCGGCGGCGGACCAATAGCCACTCCGTGTTTTCTTTTTGAAATTATTTTTTTTTTGTGGTTTGAAAATTGAAAATCCTTTGGGTTTCTAGCTGGTAATTTGATTTCTATTATTTGTTTTGGTAAATATTTGGGAAAATGATACGCCATATAAGAATGTGAGTATTGTTTACACTATTTTAGATAGTTTATAAAATATTTATAAAATAAAGTGCTGTTCGTAAAGAGGTTCCTATGTTTTTTGGACTTTTGGACCTAGCCTGTACTACTCATTCATACTCATCAATCGACATTCGACACCCTGCCCACATGTTATTAAACTACCTCTTTGTACAGGTGCGATAAAAAAAAGTAGTATGAGAAAAATCTCCAAAATCTCGTCTATTGTATGTACAGTTGCGATCAAAAAAAAGTAGTACAAAAATTATTAACCCCAATTTGAGCTTCCGGTGTAACATACAAATCTTTGACAGTAATTAACCAGTCAATGACATATTCTAGGTTAAAAACCGGTGGAAAATGCCAAAATAATGTCATCTGAAGCTTTCTAGGTTAGAAACTTGTCGAAAAATGCCGAAAATATGTCATTTTTGGTTATGAATTAAACGAGGAATTAAATTAATGTATAATAGACCAGTAGATTTTGGAGATTTTTCTTGTACTACTTTTTTTCATCGCAACTGTACAGTACATTAATTTAATTCATAAACAAAAATGACATATTTTTGGCATTTTTCGAGGATAGAAAGCTTCAGATGACATTAGGTGAATCTGTTAACTGCAATATGACAAGATATTGTTTGCCCAGCGGATCTGAGTCTACGGAAGGAATTCGGACGTAAATGTGCCATGTTGTCACGTTTAATTATAAAAAAGCGAAAATACTAGGCATGAAGTATAGTTCATTTGAAAATCCATTTTTTAATAATAAAATATTGATAACAATAATAAAACGCTAAATATTTTAACGTGGTTGTTAGATCTATTCTTATTTCAATCCTTATTTCTTCAATTTGGTTTATTGTAAAAAATAAACATTTTCTAAAGATACCATCAGCTTTTGACAATTTGGCAAGCATCCGGCCTGGATGAAGCTGATTGGTGGAGTTTTTGGCAGGATTGCCGTTGCCATGGGGAACCATACAGCTGTCAATGAGCTAACGTCACCTAACATCTCGCTATTGGCCAGGGCTCACGTCATTTTATCCTGCCATCTTGGAATATCGATTTATATTGAAATATCCAGTGGCGGAGGTTTGGTCATTGTCGATTTTCGTGTACGAGTTGCCATACGATAACACTTCCAAAAAGTTTCGCACGCAGCTGGGTATTTTATGAATGAAATCAGCCATTTTTTTTACAACTGCATTCCCCTTACCGTTGCCCCGTAGACACAGAGTCGCTGGGCAGACATTAGGTATCAGGTCCTCAAAAAAACAAAGATTGCCATGGGTTAATGATACTCGAGATGATACTATACATTAGTATTGTTGCTTTTATCGTGTATCACAGCTCCAACATAAACACGACCCAGTGTTGCCAATGTGGTAAAGTCAGATTACCCGAGTTTCTAGTTGAAATTACCTGATCTTTACCCTCGTTTGCAATGATTTTGCCAGGTTTTCATGGCGGGGAAAGGGGCATATTCGAAAACAGCGCTAAGCAAAAAAAAAGTAGTTTAGGGGTTGTATCTTAATTTTTGTTTTAAGGGTGTAGGAGAGAAAAGGATAAAGAGACACTATACACTCGGGCTTCGTGCCATGCCAATCGATGATGCTAATAGGATGCTCATTTGTACTTGCTCTACCTAATCGAAAAATCAGGAAGATCTGCTAGAAGCAGCTATTTATGAGCTTATATGGAACAAGTGAAAGCTGGGGGCGGATTACGTACTCTCGATTCGAACCGAAACCGCCATGGATTTCGAACGCATTCTGATGCATTCGCATGGAGTGCGTTCGAAATTCATGGCGGTTTCAGTTCGAATCGAGAGTTCGTAGTCCACCCCCTGATCTGCTGCTGAGATCTGCTTGAAACAAGAAAAGCAATACAAATGAACACCCTATAAAGTTGCAAAGCCGAAGCAAGGCAAAGGACATTTTTTTTCAGTATATGAATAATATTCGAAACGTCGAGTCGCAATGTCGTGTTTAATCGCTCCCGGTTTATAGTGGTTTTAAAGCAGTAAAAAGTGACCAAATTTTTTGGAACTTTCACACAGTTATAGTGCGAACTAAGATTTAACGGGTGAGCTGATCATCGAGTGAAAGCACCCAATGCATAACCTGTAACAACTGAAATACATTCAAACAATAGCTAAAACAACAACAAAAAGTGAAATAAAATACCATCATAAAAAGTGGTCCCACTTCACAAAGGCAAAATACACCTTTTTTTGTGAGGATTATTTCTGACCTGTGCTATCGGCGAGCGAACGTATAAACAATATAATATAAATAAATAAATGGTAATATTAAATACTGACTCTCGATAACTTATTTTTTTTTGAAATGGCATCGACATTTATGTGTTGTAAAAATAAACCACAGAAAAGTTATTTATGTGTGATTTGCAAAAATCTCATGCATAAAAGCTGCAGCGAAAGACGGAACATTACAGTGATAAACAAAAATCTAATTTGGTGTTCCGAAAAATGTGCCGAAGATGCTGTTAAATCCGAGGACAGTGCTACTGAAGCTATGCGAGAATACGAAGATACGATTCAAAAGCTAGAAAAGGAAATACAGGAGAAAGACAGGTATATTCAAAGACTTAAAACGTTAAATAGGGATTTGGAACAGGAAATGTTGGAATATGATTACAAAAGCGAAAAAATAATTCTTGAACAGAGTCAGGTGATCGTCGAACTTAAAAACGAAATACAACAATCATTGGAAGAATCTCTGAACATATCCAAAAATATATTAAAAACTACTGTACCTAGATATAGGTACTCAAACAACATTTTTAACCCAAACAAACACGAAAACACATTCCATTGAATGCCAAAAGATAACTGAAAACATCAACTCCAGTAAGCAACCAGAAAAATGTTCCCACATGCAAAGTGAAACTATACAAACAGAGCTCAGCGAAGAGCAAATAGAGGAGGCAAGAATTTTAAACGCCCTCATAAAAATAAATATTGGAAAAAGCACTCAAACACCTATATGGCCTGATCAATGTACAGAAGAAAAATCAGTTAACCACACACCTATGAGATCCGAACCAAAAGTGGATACAGGAAAGCCCCAAATCCTACTGCTGACGAATACAAAATTGAGAGGGGCAAGCACAAAATTTAAAGAATATACAAACAATGGCTTTGACATCAATAGACAATATATCCATAAAGGAACATTTGATGACCTGATCGCACGCTCCCAAAATTACATACATAAAATGAAAACACAAGATGTCCTACTACTGTTTGTGGGACCAGAAAATGCAATTAAAGACAAGGGCATTACGTCAACCGAACTCCACAATTTATTGAAAAATGTAAAACTGGCAAATGTATTTGTTGCTGCATGTCCATTTTCAAAAAATAGACCAATTTTGAATAAATTCATTAAAAAAAACAACCTAGAACTGAAACAGGCAACAAAAAATTCTAACATCACTTATATAGAAACACCAAAAATAGTCAAAGCACAAACAATAACTACAAATATCTGTTGGGAACACCAATGCTTTAACAACCTAATTAAACATGTCTGTGAAAAGCTATGTACCACTGAAGGCAACACAAAGATCCAGGACACTCCAAGAAAAGCTGCATTGAATGAAAATAAAGAGTTTGAGCTACGCCTACAGAAACTACGACAAAATACAAGCTATAAACAGACACCGGTGGAACAAGACAAACGTATCAACGTTATTCAAAACATAAGAGTAAAATCGCCCCGAAAAATAAAGCAAAGCATGCCTGAAATGCAACAAACTCAAAAAACGAGTCCAGTTGCAAGGAGGAATTGTTTTTTTTGGTACCCAAGACATAATGACACAGGATGGCAACCAATGGAATGCTCAACCCAGGCTTGCTATTGCAAAAAGTAGACCGCAGAAGAGCGACCAGATACTGGGTATTTTCCATCAAAATATACAGTGTTTGAAAACTTCGACGCTAGAACTGGAAGCACATTTAAAAACTCTGGAAAATTATCAACAGGTTTTATGCATGTCTGAACATTGGATGAAGCCGGAAGAGGTTAATTTGACGAAGATCAGATCTTTGAAATTTTGGTCAGAAAGGCTTCTGAAAGGTTCAAAAACTACAAAATTGTCTGGGCGGGCGATTTTAACATCAATTTCTTAACACAGAATAACTATTTAACAAGAGAAGAAATAAGAAACAGAAACGAAATGCTCGATCTATTTGGAACATATAACTTTGTCCCTCAACATCGATAAGTGCTGTTGTATAAGATTCAGTAGACGCACCCATAGTGTTCCCTTGCAGTATTACTTAAACAATGTTCGCTTGTCTGAAGTTTCTATCATTAAAGATCTTGGTGTCTATCTAGATACTAGGCTAATGTTCATTGAGCATTTTGAAGTGGTAATTGGCAGGGCTAATAAAATGTTGGGGTTTATTAAGAGAGCTACTAGGGACTTTACAAGTATACGCCCTATCAAAATTCTTTACACATCACTGGTCAGGTCCGTTCTTGAATTTTCATGCATAGTTTGGTCACCTTACTATCAGATCCACATCAATAGGCTTGAGAGTGTTCAACACAAATTTATTAAGTTTGCAAGGTACAAACTTTCTTTGAGTGGTGTAATTCTCAGTGAGGACCTGACTATGACTTATTTAGACTTATCTACTCTTGTTCGCAGAAGGGAATATTTTGATGTCTGTTTTGCATTTAAAATTCTTAACTACTACATAAAAAGCCACGAATGTCTTGAATGTTTTAATCTACACATTCAAAGTTATCAGACACGAAGTAAATCTTTACTGCACATTCCTTACTGTCGAACCTGGTACCTACTATTCAGTCCTGTGAATAGAATATCTGCCAATGTAAATAAGTTCTGTGAGGGCCTTGAGTTCTTTGGTTTATCTCTGGATAAATTTAAGACGAAGGCCAGGAGAATTGTTTTAGGTTAGATTTTTTTTTTTTTTAGATTTAAACTCTGTTCAACTTCAAAT